CGTCTATACTTATCTTCGAGAGGCTGCAGAACCTTTAGAAAAAATTTCACATTCTTGGATTCTTATCATGCGTTCTGTGTATTCTAGTAACTAAACATATGTATTTCATTCTCTCACAGATGGTGAGGACTCGTGCTACCGGTCAAGAGGGTCAGCCACCAGTTCGGGCCGCGAGAGGTCGAGGCTGCGGTAGAGGCCGTGGTAGGGGCAGAGGTGCAGCCCGTACAGCAGCTGGGGCAGTACCTGCAGATCCACTGGTTGTCCAAGATGAGGACCAGGTTCCAATTGTTGATGCATCAGCCCAGGCACCACCTGTGCCTATTGTGATTCCAGGCCTTCAGGAGGCCCTAGCTCAGATTCTGACAGCATGTACCGTCCTTGCTAAGGCAGTCTCTATTTCGATGGCTGCGGCCACTTCTCAGGCTGGGGGGAGGCACTCAGACTCCCGTCGCTCGCACACCCGAGCAGATTATTCAAGGACTTTATACACCGGAGGCACCACCAGCCCAGCCGGTTGCAGCTGCACAGGATTATGTGGTTCTTGCTATGACTGAGGATGATCAGCGTAGGTTGGAGAGGTTTGGGAAACTCCAGCCGCCACCTTTCAGTGGCACCGAGAGAGAGTACGCTCAGGACTTTTTGGACAGGTGTCAGAGGATACACTGTACTGCTGGTATTCTGGAGACTTGTGGAGTCTCATTCACTACCTTTCAGTTTTTTGGGGCTGCACTCAGATGGTGGGAGACTTACGAGAGGCGTAGGCCTGTTGGCGCAGCACCCCTTACTTGGCAACAGTTCTCCGTTCTCTTTCTAAAGAAGTTTGTACCTGAGTCCCGCAGAGAGGAGTTGCACAGGCAGTTTGAGCAGCTTCGCCAGGGTGAGATGCCTGTTACACAGTATGAGATACGGTTCTCCGAGTTAGCTCGTCATGCGGTCTAGTTGGTTCCCACAGACCGAGAGAGGATCGGGAGGTTTATAGATGGCCTCGGTTTTCAACTTCGATTGCTTATGACCAGGGAGAGAGTATCTGGGGTTACCTTTGATGAGGTTGTCGACATTGCTCGACAGATTGAGATGGTTCGAGGTCAGGAAAGGGCTAAGAGGGAGACTAAGAGGCCTCATGGTCAGGGTGGTTTCAGTGGTGCTCCTCAGGGAGGTCAGTTTCAGCAGAGTCAGTCATCATTCAGTGCATTGTCAGCACAGGGTTCTCATTATGCCCCGCCCGCTCAAGTATCATCGGGTAATATTTTTGGGCATAAGGAGAAACAGTTTCGTCAGAGGAGGGGTTGTTTCGAGTGCGGGTATTTTGGTCACATTGCGAGATATTGCCCTAGGCTGTTGGGTGAGACTCCAGAGCGGAGTACTCGGCCAACGACACCAGCACCAGTTCCCCCACCACCCGCCCATCCAGCTAGGGGCGGAGCCCAGTCAGCTACGGGTCGCACGAGAGGGGGAGGTAGATCAGGGGGTGGTCAGGCCCGTTTCTATGCCCTCCCAGCCAGGCCAGACGCTATTGCTTCAGATGCTGTGATTTCAGGTATGTTCTTCTGTTAGACTCGTTCGAGGACTAACTTTTGTTTAAGAGGGGGAGAATGTAATGACCCGACCAGTCGTTTTGAATATTATAACCTCGTTCCCCCGTTTACTGCTCAATTTATATCTTGTAATTGATTTATGACTTATCGGGTTAGTTGGTTCGGTTCCGGATAAAACTCGGAGTGAAATGAGACACTTAGTCTCATAATAAAAAAAAAATATAAGTTAGAAAAGTGGACCGGATATTGACTTGTGTGCAAAATTTGAGGTCAATCGTACTGGATTTGTTATATTTCGACATCGATTCTTCAAGAATACGTGGTATCTTATTAAGAAAATGAGCTCCAAATTCAGTTTTGATTGAAGCATTAGATCCGTATTGAAATTTTGGAGCCATAGAAAAAAGAATCGTCGAATTCGGACATCGTATGAGAGAGTTATGCCCATTTCCCTATCGGAGGAGATTTTCTGTCGCCGCGAGCGCCCAGGGTAGCGTGGGGCGCTAGCCCTAGCGCTGGGATATTTAAGGGTACTGAAAATAGCGCCACAGGCAGCGCCCCACGCTACCTGTGATGCTCGAAAATACCAGAGGCTCTATAAACGGGTTTTTGGCCATTTTTGACATAAAAATAGTTGGAGAGCTCGGTTTGGGCGATTTTCACGGGTAAACATTGGGGTAAGTATTCCTTATCCTATATTGATTATATTTCATGATTTCATACTTATTTACATTATAAATCCGTGAATTTATGGAAGAAAAATAAGATTGTTTGTAAAATCCTCCAAAAATATAAAATGAAGATTTAAAGGTGAATCCGATATCAGAATTTGATAAAATTGGTATGGGTGGACTCATAATATAATGGGTTATCGGATTTTATGAGTTTCATCGGATTCCGAGACATGGGTCCCAAGGGCGATTTTTGAGTTAAATTTCGAATTTTGTTAGAAAATTTGTATTCTCATATGGAATTAATTCTTACGATTCGTGTTGAGTATATATTAATTAATTGTGAATAGATTTGGAGTTTTTGGAGACCGAGTCCAGAGACGAGGGCATCTCGGAGTAGGATTTTTACGCTGCTAAGGTAAGTAATAATTTTAACTCTGGCTTTGAAGGTATAAACCCGTAGAATTTGATATCGTGTGACTGTTTGGAGGTGATACCTATGCTAGGTGACGGGCGTGTGAATGTATACCTCGAGGGATTGAGACTTGGTACGTCCCGTGAGGCCTCATGGCCATCATCTGTCTTTACGTAGTTACTTGTTTTTGGATTTGTCTCCCTTCATGTTAGAGATCATGCTTAGGCTTTATTCATGCTCACATTATTTGTATTCAGTCATAGAAATTATTGTACATGTGTTACCTCAGTCTCTATTATTTTTTATTATGCTGTGATACTTGATGTGGGTTGTGTTCCCTTATTTGTTGATGATGGTGAGGCTAGTGAGGTACATGATTGAGTGAGGCCGAGGGCCTGGTTGTGAGGATATTAATACCATAGCGGGTGAGTTGTCCGCATAACATGTGAGTTGACCGTGCGGGTCCAGGTATTGATACCATAGCGTGTGAGTTGTCCGCGTAGCACGTGAGTTGACCGTGCGGATTCAGGTATTGATATGATGGCACATGAGTTGTCCGTGCTTAGTGCTTGGGCTTTGGGAGCCCCTCTGGAATTTGTACACACCCCCAGTGAGCGCAGAGTGTTGAGTGTTTTGAATATTGAGTGCTGAGGGCGAGTGATGAGCGATGGAGTGACACTGCTGTAAAGTTGTATTTATTTATGTTGTTGCTGCATTTATCTGTTAAACTTCTTTGTGGCATTTACTGAGTTATGGAATTTACCTGTTTATTTCTGTTTATTTTTAAATTATGAAAATAAATAATTGGACTGTTTTACTTAGCTCGTCACTATTGCTCAGTTCCTTAGTTATTTCTGTTACTTGCTGAGGTGGTTGTACTCATGCTACACCCTGCACTTTATGTGCATATTCAGGTGAGTTAGAGCACGGCGATCGTTGAATTCAGGCCGGCTATCCGTGGAGATTACAAGGTAGCTGCTAGCGTCCGCAGGACCTTGTTACTCCTTTTATCATTTCTTCATTTGGATTGTATTGACAGTTAGACAGTTTCATTTCTTAGTTCATAGATTTAGACGCTCATGACTTAGTGACACCCCGATGTTTGGGGCTCGTTTCCGTATTTCTAAAAATATATTTAGAGTTGATTTAGTTATGAGAAATTCAAGTGTCGAAATATTTTATTAAATTCTTATAATCGGTTTAGTAGAAATATTTTGGGAAGTAGGCTTGCCTTGTAGCACGATAGGCGCCCTCACGACCATGGTCAGATTTTGGGTCGTGACAATTATACGTTAGCTATTTCATTTAATTGAATTTATGATATATGACTTTTTACCAGTTGACCATAGGATTATTTTTTTTTTTAAGAAAGTAGGTTTAATTTGTGAAGATTTACAATCAAGAATAAGAATTTTATACGAGTTAAATATTTATTACTCAATAACAAAATAAATAAATAAAAATTATAATACCTTAAAATGACTAGAGTCCCAATTTCATTGGTTCCAAATTTATGTGGATGATATTGATTACTGTGCGGAACGAGGACAAAAATATTAATATTTTAAAGTTTAGGGCAATATTGGCTTCTTTTTATTTCACCTATGGCGGTTGTTGTTGCGGAGGGCGTTTTTGTGCTACTCGGCTAACGACGAGGGCATTGAGCTACTTGATTAACAGTGAGTGCATTTTGCCACCAAAAAAAACTAAATGAAAGGCAAAGTTGTCTCATTTCTAATAGTTCAGGGGCAAAAGTACCTTTTTTTTTTTTTTTTTTTTTTTTT